AGATGAAGGCTTTAATCCTAATGCACATGCACCAGGTAAATTGAACACCTTGTTGCTTACTTCTGACCAAGCATGTTTTGCGCTTTTTATAATAGACAAATAGCAGGGAAAGTCAGTAGCTAAAAATAAGTTATTGCATAATGGCTAATTTGTTACACTTATATAAAAGGTAGTCGCATACCACCACCTTCTGGACAGCAGCGTTTTTTCCCTTATATTTCTACAGGAATCATATATAGCAAAGCTGTGAACTGGGAATCAAGTCAAATGAGCTTTCCATGACATTTAATTTCAAGAAAATGTACTTTTAAGAACTTCTAGAACCTCAGCAATATTGTTATAGTGCTAGCCAGCCATTTGCTTTGTTCAATAAATTACTTGCCTGTGGGAGATGTTTAACTAAGCTTTTGGGAGTTAATTGTTAGATTATCATCTGACAGTTGGAGATCTCTCCCTGTTGTTTTCAAGGAGATAGCTTGTTATTACCATACTGTTAAGTCAGGGATGGGGAATCCCTGGTTGTCCTGATGTTTTAAGCTTCAGTCAGTTCGAAAATAAAACTGCTTATTAATGGTATTTGGGGGTTTAGTCCCAGTACTGGTTTTGAGTGCTTGATTTGCCCCTGGTATCTGTCATTGTTACTATTTATTTATTTTATATACCCCTTTCATCTCAGAGAAGCCCACTAATTACTAAAGACAGCAATACCAGCTTTATCACACCAGCAGGAGGCAGCCTCCCTGTTGCATTGATTAACAGAGTTTGGGGGCTAGACTTTTGAGGGTTGATGCTTAATGACACTGACTCCTGTTGGAGGCTTGTTAATCTATACTGTTAATCTATAGCCCAGTGTCTTTGTATTTGGGAGTTTGTGGGTGCCTGTGGCGGGATGAGTGAGCTCAACAACTCTGGTCAAGCCAGTAGATCACTGGCAGTTTTTTTTTTATAGTGGGAGTAGATCGCAGTCTCTTGGAATTTGGACATGCCTGGTCTAGGGGAACACTAAGCATTCTAAGAGATGTACATGCAACCTGCCATTTGCACACATTCAATATGTGCATGGCCGTGCATATACACATCAGGCCGAACCTGGAAGTGACCAAAAATGCCACAAAAAGGAGCAGAATGGGGTGGGGTGGGGGACAGGGTAAGGGGCAGAAGAAGATGTTTGTTTTTTCCACTGAAAAATCAATGGAATATATATGATTTCACTGGTGCACATGGTGCCTCGGAACATAACACCCATGTAAATGGGGGTTCCCTGTAGTTAGGGATATTATTAATAGCCAGAACTGCCCTTATCTGGGGTGGGGTAGGAAGTAGTAAGAATACTTTATAACAGAATAATTGTCACTAATCAATAGCTGAGAATAGTGTACTTTTGATGTGCCTGTCCTTTTAACATGGGCTTGATGGAGCCTTACAAAGCTTCCTATCCAAATCCAGTCAGGGAATTCTCCCAAACCAATCCACCTTTTGTTTGTTTGTTATTTTCCATAGCTTCCACTGGTAGGGACTCTGTGGAAGGGCATAATGGGTAGAGAGACATTTTATGGAGCCTCTGTGATACATACAATTATATGAGCTCTCCTTCTGCTCCACCAATTATAATGACAGGTTTAAAAAAATTAATTATTCATTCCCATATCATATGTAAGACTTGATTTATCTAGAGAACTCTAAAAGCCAGAAATCTGCCATTGATTTGCTCATTAAAACTTTGTTACACATTTTTTACCTCACCTTTTGATGTTGACAGGTCCTTTTGAGCATACATCAGTATCTCTGTGCTTTTTATCTCTTAGATATCTTAGTGCCTCAGTGGGGCAACATATTTGCCTTTGTTTTGTCAAATGTCAAGAGTATAAAAAGGCAGCATGAGCCCTTGAGAAAGAAATTTGCAAGCCAGATTCAAAATGGGCATGACGACATTTCAAAGACAAAATGCTTATTTACCACAGTACAGCAGTGGCTCATGCAGTGGTTTGCTGGACAGCTTCAAGCTTCTGCTGTGAAGCACTGTTGTATGGCAGAAGGAGAACTTACACTCTTACCACTTGAGGTCACGTGATGGTGACGAAGGCTATGGGACTCTGCACAGACATGTGGCTACTGAGTGTGAGCAGGGCCCAATGCAGGCCATGACACCTGCAGCCTGTGCTGGCTAGTTATGCTTGCATGTGCTGAGGTAGCAGCCCCTGTGCCTCTGCTGCGTCTTTGTGAGAGGATTTGCCAGAGGTCTTCATTGTGTGAAATGGCACTTCTTCTGGTGGTTTGGAATGGCCAGCATTCCTTCCTGGTAATGCTGCTGACAGGTCAAAAGCAGTTTGAGAAGTGCCACTTTTGTCCCAGCAGTACCCCTCCCTATGCAATCCTGCAGATTATTTCACTGAATGCTGGGAGTAAGATGTCTGGTCTGAACAGCACCACTCCCAGAGCAAGAAATGGTGCTGAACAAGACCGTCTCTTACACCTCACACTGGGAGTCTTGGGATGGGCCAGGCAGAGAATGGATGTGGCACACAGGCTGCAAGTTACCCAAACACGTCTAAAGCCAAGAAGGAAGGAAGTGATTCATTTGACACTGCCTTTTGGCTTGATTGCATGGTGGGAGAAGCAGAAGGCAGGATGTAAGCCACTACGGTTTTGCTTGGGAAGCAGTGCTACCTTCAGGACAAAATCGGCACATATGAAGCCCAATAATATTGTGTCTGCGTAAACTGACAGTGTGTCCCAAAGGCTTCTACAATCATATACAGTGGTACCTCGGGTTACATGTGCTTCAGTTTACATACGCTTCAGGTTACAGACTCCGCTAACCCAGAAATAGTACCTCAGGTTAAGAAATTTGCTTCAGGATGAGAACAGAATTTGGGCTCCGGCGGTGCGGCGGCAGTGGGAGGCCTCATTAGCTAAAGTGGTGCTTCAGGTTAAGAACAGTTTCAAGTTAAGAACAGACCTCTGGAACAAATTAAGTACTTAACCCGAGGTAAAGGTAAAGGTACCCCTGCCCGTACGGGCCAGTCGTGTCCGACTCTAGGGTTGTGCGCCCATCTCACTTAAGAGGCCGGGGGCCAGCGCTGTCCGGAGACACTTCCGGGTCACGTGGCCAGTGTGACGAAGCTGCTCTGGTGAGTCAGCACCAGCGCAGCACACGGAAACGCCTTTTACCTTCCCGCTATAAAGCGGTACCTATTTATCTACTTGCACTTGGGGGTGCTTTCGAACTGCTAGGTGGGCAGGAGCTGGGACCGAACGACAGGAGCTCACACCGCCGCAGGGATTCGAACCGTGACCATGCAATCGGCAAGTCCTAGGCGCTGAGGTTTTACCCACAGCGCCACCCGCGTCCCATAACCCGAGGTACCACTGTACAAATATTTGCATCATTAAATTTTATCCTGGGGGAGTGCTCGGGGATTTCTGCTACATAGGCCAAAAATAGTGAGTGGAAGCATTTCTGATTCTGTATGGTTTATTTGACTTCTACCATGTCAAAATGATGGACTCTGTGTTATTGCAGATATTTTCTGGCTTGTTTGACTATGGATTCCTCTTAGCCATGCTACTTCAGAGCTGCAGAAGTAGTTTTGGTGAATGCTGTCCACTACTGTTTTTCTAAACTGCTTTTCTACAAGTTTCCATTATTATTATACATGTTCATATAGCTGTTTTTTAATAGCTGCAGAGGAGGCAGCAATGGGTGGCATTTTTGGTTTTGCCTCTGAATGCAAAACACCCTGGGCTTGCCTTGCTGGGTTCAGGCCAGCAAATATGTGGGTTCAGGCCGCTCAATCTGGCCTCTAACTAATGTGGAGAGCTGCAGATTTTTTAAAATAAAAAAATGCATGGAATGGACAATCCATATCAATGCTAGCAAAAGGTGGGCTTCACCTCTTTCAGTGAATATACCAGGCTCCCTATTCAGAGAAGTGGGACAGTGATCAGGAAGCAGGTCTGGGCATCCAGCAGCAACAAAAGTCAACACCTATTCTCCCTTCTGCTCTTTTCCTTATGAGCTGGGAGACAACAAGAGTCAAAGGTTAGCTTTGTTGCTTCTGGGGAATTGAGGAGGTATGCAGATCAGATCTGTATCTCCGATTCTGTTTTCTTGTTTACAGTAAGAAAGAAGCATGAATGAGGATGGAAGTCTGGGTATTTCCTTTTCTTTAGGGAACAGTGTCAAAAATGCATCTAAAATAATGTTGAAGTTGTACTCTTCATTTTCAGCATTTGTTATACTGCCTATTAGCAATAAGTTCTGTGGAAGGCGTTTAAATGTTCTTTAAAGCCATTAATATTTATTTAAAGCAACAGCTGCAGGAACATGAACATAAAAAAACCAAACAACATTAGATTAAAGCAGAGCAAAATTAGTAGTGCCCAAGGTCTAAAAAGGACTGGATGTGTTTTTTTAAACAAACAAACAAACAAACAAACAAACAAACAAACAACAAGCAAGCAAGCAAAAACAAACAAACAAACAAACAGAACATACTGAGGCAAAGTGAGCTGCCAAAATGATCAGGGCATAGGCATCAGGTGAACCTCGCTGGGGAGAGCATCCCACAACTGGAACGGCACCACCAAAATGGCACCCATTCACATCACCTCATTTGGTGATGGTGCCCAGAGAAAGGGCCTCTGAAGATTATCTTTGGGTCCAGGATGGAATATATGGGAGGACACTACCTTTGGAGCTTTAATGGTTAGTACCAGCAGTTTGTCCTGGGCTGAGAAACAACAGAACACCTTTCTGAAAAGTGCAACACCACACCAAGTTTAGAGATGTCCAGTCATGAATTCCTAATGTACAAACAAGTTGCCCATGTGTGTGCTTTTGAATAGTTAGGAATGCAGGGTGAGGCTCTCTGTGCACAGAAATGCTGGAAAAGGAAAAGTAACTCTCCTCTTTATTTTAGGGATGAGCTTGATCCAATAGCAAGCAGAACACAGGGGGGATGAAGTATTGTTCTTGAATTATTCACTGCCTAGCCGAGGAAATGACGAGAAGGAAATCGTCCCCCTGTCTCAGGAACCATGTGGCAATCTAAGATAAGGCAAACAGTTGCTAATTTGAGTATAAAAGCAGGAAATGTGATACACTGATTTCCTTTCATGCAAACAGAACAATCTGAGGGAATATGTAAGGACGTTCTTTTCCAAGTCAACTTTCTAATATACACCAAGTGTTCCACTGTGGATATTTTCATTATTTTGACAATTTTGAATACCATGGATACCAACAACACCAGTCCTGACAACTTATTGCCGAGTAATTTCTGGGGTAAGTACATATCATTATGTGACTTATAATTATTTTCATTTTTATATTCTCTCTGAATTCTGTCTCTGTGATACAATTATGTTGTCCATTAGATGATGTCTTTCTAACGTGTTCATTATACACTTTTGTTATAATATTTTACAGTATATTTTACAACAGGCATATCTGCAAACATGGTAAACCCTAATATTTTGCTATCCCATTTTCCCTGTCAAGTTTCATTGAATGCGTTCAACATTTTAACAACCATGAGAAAAACTATACGCTATTTATTATTGTTTTGCTTTCTGAGGAAAGAATCAGCCAATTATTAAGAAAACTTTGTTGAGAGGTTTGACTAAGGATTTTTGATCATTACAACGCTAAGTTCAGAATTACTACTAGCCCTGGTTACATTTTTCAATACTATAAAGAAGTTTGTGTGTGTGTGTGTGTGTGTTTGTTTGGTTTTCTAGACGGGGCAAGTTTTTCCACATGCCTGGGCTTACTGGCATCCTCATTTCTATTATTCTACTAGATCAACATAGAACATCCATTTCTTTTTCAAACCCCAGGATATGGAAAAAGCACAGCCCCTCCCCTGTGGCAATAGCATCAGGCATTCCAGCTACTTTAGTATGAACTGTGAAACGGGAACAGCCTGCCCTGTTTTCCCTTGACATAAGTCTATTTAAGTGTCAAGCGAGATGATGTCAAGAAACATGGGCAGTGTGCTTCCACCATAAACTGTTAAATGATGCTCCCATCCCACAGAGACATTTGTTTGAGGCCCTTATCTTTGTGAAGTTCTCACTTCTCTGGCAGCTGCCTCCTTGAGGATAGTGCTTCCCTCATGCAGATTCTCCTTCGTTTTGGGAGAGGAGCCCCCCATCCCCAGCATCACATATCCTTCAGGGATCTGGACAGGCCGGATTTAGATTTGATGAGGCCCTAAGTTACTGAAGTTAATGGGGCCCTTTATATGTCCAGCTGTCCTTTGTCAACAACAAATTGCAGCTGGTGTTTTGTGTTAAATATATGCTATATGGCAGTCATGTCCAACCAGTCAATCACGATTTACGGGTCGATCACGGGGTGTCTGTGGTCGATCGTAGTCGATCTGGTGATCCTGATCGATCCCCCCCCCAAATCTCCTCAAAGAAAGCTCAACAACTTTGGTCAATCCAATGGGTAGATCACTGCCATTATTTTTATAGTGAGAGAAGATCGTAGTCTCTTGGGAGTTGGACATGCCTCCTTTATGGAAATTTATGGACCTAATAGGTATCTAAAGCCATTTGCACGCTGTCAGGCGCTGGTTGCTCGTGAGTAACCAGGCAGGACTCCGTCCTGTCTTTTTAGGTTTTATTGGTGCAAACTATTTACAGTGTAGAACCACAAAGTTCATGTCCGTCTTAGTCACTTGCAGATTCTGCGAGTAGCCCCTTCCGGCTTCTCCCCCAACATAAGAACTTAGATACCCCAAATCTCTGCCTCCCCTCCTTATGTTTCACTCCTCTGTGCAGGCTAGGTGATGGAAACGGCATGTCTGCTTCCTGGATAGCTGGGCTAGGTGAGGCGCTTGGGCTCTCAGTAGCATCTTCGAGCCCTCCCCTCGCTTGGTTGCCCCCTTCCCCCCCTCTCCACTGGAGGTGTGGCTTTCCCCACCATTGGAGGAGGCGCTGCTCCTCAGAAGTGTCAGAAGCTCTCTGTATCCCCCTGGCTCCCTCCTGTGTTCCCTGACACACATGCAGAATGTAGGCAGCCTATACAGTGGTACCTTGGTTTACAACCATAATCTGTTCTGGAGGTCCGTTTGTAAACCAAAACAGGTTGCAACCCAAGGCACGCTTTCACCAATGGGGCCTCCAAAAAAGAAGAAGAAGAAGAAGAAAAAAAAAAGGGTTGTAATCCAAAAAAAAAAAAAAAAAGGTTGCAAACTGGGACACACACTTGCGGAATTGACGTGTTTGTAATCCAAAATGTATGCAAACTAAGACATATGCAAACCAAGGTACCACTGTACATAGAAATGAGCAAACCAGTGATATTTAAGGGAGCAGGCTAGCAGGCAGGGATATTTACATCATAGGAGCCTACACAACACAAAACACTGTTGCTGTATGTAGGTTTTATTTTATTTGTTTTTTATCTTGTATTTTAGAAATGTACATCATTTTTTTCTTTAATTTTTTTGGGGCCCCCCAAGAGAGTGGGGCCCTAAGCTATAGCTTGCTTAGCTTATACGTAAATCCAGCACTGGATCTGGAGCAGTTTGAGAATTACTGTCCTAAAGGCATGGGAGTTTTGAGATCAGAGGTATCAACAGCAGCTGTGATTATCCTAGGTTTGAGGAGAAACATGGATTCAGTCAGTATGATACCCAGAGAGGCATAGAGCCCAAACTTTTAGAGAGTTGGACTAGGACCTAGGAGACAAGGGTTCAAATCCTCACATGGTCATGAAGTCCACTGGGTGACTTTGAGCCTGTCTCTGTCCCTCAGCCCAACCTACTGTACCTCACGGGGTTGCTGTGCATATAAAATGGAGAGTGGGAGAAATGTGTTTGCAGAGGTGGATTTAGGGGAGCTCAACTAGTTTGCCTGCACTGGGCACTGAGTCAAGAGGGGGGTTGCCACAACAAGAGAAGGAAGGTGAGAGGCAGGGGCGGGGAACTAATTTTGGCATTACACAGGGAATCACTGAAATTTGAAAGCCCCAAGTCCTTCACTGGTGTATGCACTTCTCTCTATTCTGCAGTCAAGATATTCTGGACTAGGGTAGAGGCTTGTTGGAAGTAGAGCCACACACCCTTTCTGGAAACACTTTGGAAAATACCATGAGGGACTCTCTGCTGAGGGTCTGTAGGGAAGGAGGCAATCTTGCAGATATTTGGGACCTAAATCAGTTTTTGGGTTTGAGCTAACCCTTAATTTCCCTGGGAACAAAATATGCATGTTGGGTAACATCTGGGACCTTTAAAGAGGGATGAACCCAGTAACGGAGTGATAGAGTCCAGAGCAATTTATCCACCTGAACAATTAGGAGTTTTGTCAATTTCTAAAGGGTAAAGTATAGGGACGCGGGTGGCACTGTGGGTTAAACCACAGAGCCTAGGTCTTGCCGATCAGAAGGTCGGCAGTTCAAATCCCCGCGACGGGGTGAGCTCCCATTGCTCAGTCCCTGCTCCTGCCAACCTAGCAGTTTGAAAGCACACCAAAGTGCAAGTAGATAAATAGGTACCGCTCTGGCGGGAAGGTAAACGGTGTTTCCGTGCACTACTCTGGTTCAGAGTCATGCTGGCCACATGACCCAGAAGCTGTACACTGGCTCCCTCGGCCAATAAAGCGAGATGAGCGCCGCAACCCCCGAGTCAGTCACGACTGGACCTAATGGTTAGGGATCCCTTTACCTTTACCTTTAAAGGGTAAAGTAGTTATCCATTATTTTTATTTTTGGTGACTAAAGTAGCAGTCAAAATGTAGTGGGAGGAATACTGTGCCATATTCATTATACTAATAAAAGAAATCCATCCGTCATTCACATTGCTACTGAAACCAGCATATTGTAAATGTGCTGGAAATATTTGTTCACATATGGCAGGAAAAGGAAGTTGGAGTTCAATGTATAATGTTAAACTAAACAAATGCACAGCCTTTCTTCTCGGCTACGTCTTTCCCAGTCACAAAGCCAAAGTTTTGTTGACCAAATTTTTAATGCATTCTGCAAATGTTACAGGATATTTTGCTGATTGCAATGTCTGTTAAATTTCCGTTTTTTGTAAGGAACACCTGAAGCAACTTGGCTCCACATCAGGCATCAGGCTTGCCAACTTTGCAAAAGCCATGCTGATTGGTGGGTATCCAACAACTGCAGGAAACTGAAATGTCCACCTCATATAATTTTGAATATGAGCAAAAGTCATAAATCAAGCCCCACCTAGGTCTGGGTGATGTTATTGTCCCCTCTTATTGTCTAATTGCCTTCTAGAATCGTAGTTATTATTATTATCTGCTATATTGCATATGACCACTTATTTTTTATGGGGGGGATAAGAAAGGGTAACATTACGGAAATGGCTTATGACCACTTCAATACTATAGAAACATTGGTAATAAAGGTAGGTAACTACCTCATGACATAATTAGCTTGTTTTTAAAATAATTCTGCTGCAATGATTCAGGTTTCAAATGGTAAATGTCTTATTTTGAGTATCTACTGAAACTCTAAGAAAGTAGTTTTTCATCTCTGACAATTTCAGTAACAGCTGTTTACTGACAACATTTATCTTAATCTTCACAATGTGTTTTTTCTTGTACAGTTGTGGTAGAAGTGTTTTCAAGTGCTGTGAATATTCAATTATGCTTGTGATTTCACATGTAGGGGGAAAGAGGGATGCCATGTATATGGCTGATCCAGACCATATTCCCAGAAGAGACGGGTGTGCTGCAGGCCCCGCAGTGAATGCTGCCCGGCATTTTGTCACCCCCCCCCCGTGGCGACACCCGGGTTGGACCACACCCACCGCACCCCCTTCCTCCGCCCCTGCTTAGACCATGTCCTGGGACCTACCATGTCTTTCTGTGCCTAACACCATAGCAGAGCAGCAAAATATATAGTAGTCAGTTTCTTGTACCTTTAATAGTTTTTTAGGACAGGGGAATGTAGCTTGCCATGTTACAGAGCTGCTGCAACAGCATAAGAAGAAGGAGAAAGTACCTTCTGAAACTTCCCCATGGGAGTTGAAATGATTGGAGCATTGCCATTAACTGTGGACCCAAAACAGGCAGCACTTATCTGGCCAGCCAGTTTTTGTGGCTCTGAAAGCAGTGTGGTGTGCGGGAATCACAGGGCAAGTTTTTAATGACAACAATTAACATCGGCTAATATCAAGCTGTTGCTGAAAGGCACAGGAAAGAAACCGGTCACAAAGACTTTTCCTGGTGTAAAGTTGACATTTGGTAGTAATGATTGTGGTGGGGAACTTCCAGCTTCCACGGGGAAGTATAATTTGGAAATAATACATATCACCTTCCTACAACAGCTGTAAACTGAACTGGCCAAATATTTCTAAAGAAATATATCAGCACATACACATCCAAGCCTAGATATGAAAAAGAAATGAGCAGAAATTCAAATATATCCAGAACAACCAAAGAGAAATTTAAAAGTCAGAGTCATAAATGCCGCCTTTATTGAGATTGCCAATTTGGTTTCAACAGTTTTTGTAGCTACTTTCACAAGGAAACCTTGTGAAATGAATTGTTATGTAAGAGTGGACATGTAAGAGTTCAAAATCCTACTAAATGTGTTAAACTTCTGGTAATATTTCCCCCCTTATTCTCTTTTTAATGGATGTGTGGATTGGCAGGGGTGGGGAGTGTTGGGCTGTGAAACTGATATATTCATTGATGTAGTTTTCCAGCAGAGGGCAATATACTTACACTATATAGATATATTGATCATTCTAAGGGAAAATTGCAGAGTCTGGGAAACAAAGAAGTTGTTGTTGTTATAAAAAGATACAACAATATTATTTTGGTTTTATTTTCTGGAACAGATGGCTAGCTTACTCTCTGCCACATGATCTGGAGATGTGTGAAATCCCACTCCTGATAAATTTTGCCACACTTATTCACATGATTTAGCTTTCCTGGAAATTCTTCACATCAAAGGCAAAATTTATTTACCTCAACTGTTGATTGAAGGCATGTTTTAAATGGCAATATTGTTCTTCTAACTGAAGGGCTTGTTCAGCAGAACAGTCTACTTTCTGTTGATGTGTGTGGGGAATGCCACTGTGCAATTGGACACATTCTCAAAGGGAGGACTGATTTTTATTCATTTCATATTTTATGTATTTCATACAATTTATTTACCACTTGATTACAGAAAAAGCCACAAAGCATTTTTTAATTGCTTTTAAAAAAAGATTAGCCTTTACAAAACAAATGAAGGCAAATTTTCTACATGTTTAAGGACAGAGATACATTCAAAATAATATAATTATGAATACAGAAGTTTGTAAACACAATGACCTTAATTTCTTAATTGATAAATAATGTGAAAACTGACCACTAAAGTTATACAAAATTGCAGTGTGATAAATCTTGTACTCTGTTTGGTCTATCTCAGTTAGCAGTCTTGAACACACTTCAAAAGTCCATTTGATTTAGGACTTACGACTCAGTCAACATGCTTAGGATTGCATTGTATATGAGAAGTACAAGCTCCATTGACGCACAAAATAAAGCTTTTATCCTCCCACACATTTTAGTAGAGATATTGCATTTTTTTTCATTGGAATAGATGGCCCTCAGGATCCGTTCCAACTCTACAATTATATGATTCCGTGAAATATTCACCCTATTTTACTTCTTTTGTTTTAGATCATATGATAATAGCATTTTCCGTTTCTATGGTCATTGGGCTTGTGATTGGAGGCGTAATCTGGGCATTGCTGGCTTGCCTGTCTAGTCGCAGAGCCAGTGCCCATATTTCCCAGTGGAGCACCTCATCCTCCAGCCGGCGTCCCAGAGCTTCTCGTGGATCTTCTGCCAGCAGGCCTGGATTTTATCGCAACAGCAGCTGTGAACGCCGCAGTAACCTCAGCTTGGCCAGCCTGACCTTCCAAAGGCAAGCTTCCTTGGAGCAGGCCAACTCCTTCCCAAGGAAATCAAGTTTCCGAGCCTCAACGTTTCATCCCTTCTTGCAGAGCCCCCCGCTTCCTGTAGAAACAGAGAGTCAGCTGATTACATTGGTACCAGCCACCACCACCACCACCACACTTACTGGCACCACCACCAACAGCCTATCTCGTCCCGAGTTCCACTGGTCCAATAATAGTCTTCGTGTCTCCAACTCAACACAGACACCACCTCCTGCTTACGACTCTATCATAAAGGCTTTCCCAGACTCTTGACTCCAATTCTTGGGGATGTATGTATATAGAAAGAATCTCAGTTGTATGATTTTCTGTGGGCTCTATGAAGACACCTATGAAGTCTACCATTGCAAGGACCTGCAGTGCGGAGACCCAAGTGATAGTTCTGTGTCCCTCTATGATAGGCATTTGCTGGAGTGAAACCCTCATGTCTCTTTCGGCGACAAAGGCCTCTCTTGCGCTATTATTCACAAATGGTATGCAACATCACTGTGTGTTTATATTTGCATTGTAACCATTGCCTTTAGTTTAGATGCAGACTTCATCTAGTCTAACAAATTGAATCATATCTGAAGACACAGAATGTAAAAATAGTTATCTTTGTGAATATCCTCCAGTTAACCTTAAACACAGTGATGAAACTGCTGTTTTTATTTAGGTTTTCTTTTCTTTTCTTTTCTTTGTCAAAGCATTTTCCTCTGGGCATTTTGATATACAAAGTAAGTAAATAAATCCTACCACTTGTTCATCAGTTGGCCATAAAGGTAAAGGGACCCCTGACCATTAGGTCCAGTCGTGACCGACTCTTGGGTTGTGGCGCTCATCTTGCTTTATTGGCTGAGGGAGCCGGCGTACAGTTTCCGGTTCATGTGGCCAGCAGTTGGCCATAGTGCCATGTGATTACAAGATTTACATGATTTTTAAAAATAGATGTAAATAGCTTAGTATTCGTATTATATTTCTGTGGGCTAAGATCCTCGATTTATGTTTTAATATCTTTCTAATTGGAACCATTGTCTGATTAAGGCTGCTAGCTTCACATGCTTTCTTAGGAGTAAGTCTCACTGAATTCAGAAAGCTAAACATCAGGGTAGATATAAGAAAAATCTCCTAGAGAAGGGGTTCCCAAACTGTGGTCTGCAAGCTTCATTCAGGTGCTCTGTGGAGTGTCTCTGCAGAACCCTTCCAATTTGAGTTCTATTGAATTCTATGGAATTCAAAATGCGATAGAGTAAAATACAATATCATAAATAAAAGAAACAATCAAAACACAATCAAAAATTGTACAGCACATTACATTTGCGACAACAGGCAGGGAAATATAATTCCCAACAATTTCCAAGTGGTCCATGGGGGTGGGGGTGGGGAATGGGAACCACTGCCCTAAAGCTTAAAAAAAAAATGTGTGCAACAATGTCAATGTTAACCCCAGGATGAGGGGATTCCTGAGTCAATCCCTCCAATAAGCCTCCTAAGCATGAAATAAAAGAGTTGTGCAAAGGAGAAGTATATGTCAGTCATGCTTCTGCTTTCCCTGTGATGAGTCTTGGTGCTTTTATTGGGATGTTGCCATCAAATCACATAATGTTAGATTCTGAGCTGGTTTCAATGCAATCCAGTGCTTGCAGACTGTCAAAGTTTTCAATTTGGCAATAATCATGCCTTGGATTAACCTTATTGTCTATGATACTGCCACTGATATTATTAGTGTACTTACTGTTATTATTAGTGTACCTAGAAATATGTCACAGCAATGAAAAATCCCGGAGCCTTTAATTCTGCTTCCATTGCCTGCTGAGATCAATACAGTTGCTGTTCAGAAGAGAATAAGATTTCCTCCAGAATGCATAGCTAAGTTGTTCAGTCTGTGTTTTCGATGATAATGGAAAAGCTCTTTAAATAAATGGTGGGTTTTTTTGTTTTTTTAGTATTTACTTCTGGAAATGTTGCAAATGATCTGTATAAAGCTTATATAAGGTATTAGCATTAGTTTTCATACGGAATTTATGAGACTGCATTATGTACTGTGTTTTCCTGCTATAATTTACACAGGATGCACAAAGGAATGTTTTGTGTGCTCAGGTCAGGGAAGCTGAAATGTGAATCCTGTGGTTTGTGGTCAGTTGCTTGATGGTATATATTTAAAGACTAGACAAATCTCTTTTTTATCGGCATGTTGGAAATGTTGGGATTTAAATAAAGTCATAAATATTGCTCTATGTTATATTTTTGGCCATTTTAAGAAATATTCCAATCTATACCTGAAATGAGTTTTCCCCTTACTGAATGCCATCAGATTTGTACCCTTGAAAATCTGGCTACAACAAAGCACTGATTCTTTATTTATGCTGTAGTTGAGAACTTGGAGAACGATAAAGAAAATTCCCCAGCAGGACCTCTTTTCTGCTCTTTAGCACCATTGATACTGACAAGCTATTTGTGCCAATTCCCTTGATTAATTCTTCTCCTCCTTGGCAGGAAGGCCCTATGGCAAGTGAGCTACCTGTTCCCATCCCTACCTGTCTCTGTTTCTTTTGACTTGTTAGGAGGGAAGAGGCTGCTCTTATTTTTTATTATTTAATACATGTTAAGCTGTAGAAAGAACAGACTTGGTACCCACAGGCATTCACCAGGGGGCGGGGTGTGTGTGCTCTAAGTAAAGAGCCCTCCCTGAGGTTTCTGCATAAAGTAATTTCTATCTCCCCTCAATTTCTGTCCCTAGAAGGTGTGCTCTTTGGGCTCGGAAAAAGTTTTCTGTTGTTTTCTACTTTCTGCATGCTTCACTTTTAAAGTACAGTGGTACCTTGGTACTCAAATGACTTGGCTCCCGAGAAAACCGGCTCCTGAATGCCACAAACCCAGAAGTAAGTGTTCCGGTTTGTGAACGTTTTTCGGAAGCCGAACGTCCAGCATGGCTTCCGCAGCTTCTGATTGAGTGCAGGAAGCTCCTGCAGCCAATCGGAAGCAGTGCCTTGGTTTTCAAACCATTTTGAGAGTTGAACAGACTCCTGGAACGGATTAAGTTCGAGAACCAAGGTACCACTGTATCTCTTCCCTCCAAATCTGTACTGCTCCCCTGGCTACTTTATCCCTTCTACTTTCTCCTCCACTTTATAGTATGCCAAGAAGGAATAGGGCCCCCCTCCACAGATGTGAAGCTGCATGGAGATGTGGGTCAGCTGTGTCAAGCCTCTGGCAAGTTCCAATTGCAGCTAGCTGTGTATAATCTTCCCAACTACAAGGAGAGTCATTATAGCCTATTTAAATTACAGCAAGTATAACTAAATTTGCACAAGTATGTATAAATTGAGGGACGCGGGTGGCGCTGTGGGTTAAACCACAGAGCCTAGGACTTGCTGATTGAAAGGTCGGCGGTTCAAATCCCCGTGGCGGGGTGAGCTCCTGTCGTTTGGTCCCAGCTCCTGCCCACCTAGCAGTTCAAAAGCACCCCTAAGTGCAAGTAGATAAATAGGTACCGCTTTCTAGCGGGAAGGTAAACGGCGTTTCCGTGTGCAGCGCTGGTGCTGGCTCGCCAGATGCAGCTTCGTTACACTGGCCACGTGACCCGGAAGTGTCTTTGGACAGCGCCGGCTCCCGGCCTCTTGAGCGAGATGAGCGCGCAACCCTAGAGTCGGTCACGACTGGCCCGTATGGGCAGGGGTACCTTTACCTTACCTTTATGTATAAATTAACATTTGCATATTTCTCAAAGACAGTGACATGCTCAAGGTCATCTGGTGAGCTTGCCTGTGAGTGAGATTTGCACTATGGCTTCCCATGTTCAGATCCGGTCCTCAGTGCACTACATTATCAATGACCAGTTGACAGCTCATGTGTCTGATCTGGTCTGCCAAGCTTTCTTCTGTGGATCCCCAGCCAGACCCTCAACCTAATTTGGCAGAAATGGCCTAAAAGGGTAGAGCACACCTGCACAACCAGAGTGATTTTCATCCCCGCCATGCAGGTGGGTTGGGCAGGAAGGTCTTGGCCTTTTTGCCAAATCTCAGCACCACAATGGAGACAGAGATCACCCCTCCCCTTTCTCATCAGTTGATTGACCTGATGACTTGGGAGAGGTGTTGTTTATCAGCTACACCACAGAATCTGATACACAAGATGAAATCAGACTTCTATCTGAGACGGCATGAAGAGAAGGATTCCAAACTGCCCCAAGAAAAGTGATCTGGAAATGTAACCACACTGTCTCCCGTCCATATTTAAAACCCAAGGTTGAGTGCAAATGGCACAGATTGGCTTAAAGCCACGCGTTCTTGGCACCATCCTGGCCAGTATTTTTGCAGGTCTAGTTCACTAATGGCCTGGTCTGATGTTATCTGGGAGCCACAGGAGGAACTGCAAGAATGCTTCCTCCAGTTTTAATGGGGCAATAGCAGGAACATTCATTCCTGCTAGGGCATGTTGTTCTAAAGGCTTCTGGTCCATGGGGTCACGAAGAGTCGGACACGAATAAACGACTAAACAACAAAGTATACATAAACATACTTGCCTCACATGATTGTTCATTGTGCTGGGGTAAGAATGTCCCCCACCATTGCCTCTCTGTCACCACTGTTCCTGTCATCAATGCATTGTGATGGGATGGCCTGATGAGGGGAGTCTGTCCTGCATGCATAGACTCCCCTGTAAATTAGCACCTTGAGGAATCAGACTTAAGCTTCAATCCAGTACTTCTGTCCAGAAATGCACCATTATTTTTTTAAAAGGTAAAGGTAACGTACGGGCCAGTCTTGCCAGACTCTAGGGTTGTGCGCTCATCTCACTCTATAGGCCGGGAGCCAGCGCTGTCTGCAGACACTTCCGGGTCACGTGGCCAGCGTGACAAGCTGCATCTGGCGAGCCAGCGCAGCACACAGAATGCCGTTTACCTTCCCGCTGGTGAGCGGTCCCTATTTATCTACTTGCACCCGGGGGTGCTTTCGAACTGCTAGGTTGGCAGGCGCTGGGATCGAAAGACGGGAGCTCAAACCGCCGACCATGCGATCGGCAAGTCCTAGGCACTGAGGTTTTACCCACAGCGCCACCCGCGTCCCTCATTATTTTTTTTACAACTCCATAAAACATGCATTAAATCTGCCTTAATTCTATTTTAGCTCCAAGACAATGCATAGAATCAGAGAACTGTAGAGCTGCATGTTTTGGACAAATTTTTTACTAATGCTGTGTAGAATTAAGTACCATTTTAATATTGTCTTTCAGGTTCACACCAATAAGCATTTTTTGGAATGTTTTCTAATGCCCATGTCCATTCTACTTCGATGATTGTTAACCCAATATTTGCTAAATCCCAATCCCATTTCCTTTTATATGAAGGGTAAAGAGATTCTTTTGTATATATTGAGAGTGTTATTACTTTGCTTTTATCATTTCACTTGAATGCTGATTCCTGGTGTTAAAACAGCACCCTTGCAAGGTTTCTTCAGTAAGGGCCAAGCAGAATCCATATCCTCTGATGCCTGTTTGCACTTTTCACATTTCCCTGTTTCCTAAACAGAAGCCTGGTGACCTATCTCATAATGATCATTTGCATTCTGTGAAAGAAGATGAATGATTCCAGCCGTATCTGTTGGAATGTTGACCTTTCATTGGTAAAGACTTTCAACCCTGCTGTTCAGACACAGACAACTGCTCCTACTTCATGAAATCCAATTTTTAAAGTTCGCAAGCAAATCACCACATGTTTTGAGTCATCTCAGTATCTGTTTTTAAGTGTAAAACGAAAACTGTATTTACTGGAAATGTCTGCTCAGACTTGTAATGACACATGCCAGATCCCTGGCCAATAAATTACTTTATGAGATTAGAAGATGCTAGTGATGCAAATCAGTTTCTAGAGAAATGAAAGAAACAGGAATGGTAAACGTATCTCTGGCATAGCATGTCCAAAGGAAACAAAATTAATACAGCTGATGCTAAAAATTTTGTAAGCTTGCAACTAAAGTGTCAACTGGTTGCTGATTAAGGATCTTGCCTTTTCGGTGGTGGTAGGTTGATTCTTCCATTGTTATTTGCAAAAATCTGAAACCTATTTGAAAAAAGGGAACCAACTCAACCACTTTTTTTCTTTCAAAAATGGATGACTTAGGGTCAATTTGTACATTGCTTTTATGAAGTGTGTAGATGTGGGTGCAAACATGATTATACAAGGAATAATTCCAACTAACATTTCATCCAGTCCTGCTTAGTAATGGCAGAAAGTGAGTTGAGGCAGTGTCTGACAAACGATATTTGTGATTATTCCAAAGTTTTGAAGGGAAACTCATACCACCATGTGCATGGCACATGCACACACAGAGTTTTTAAACAGGGCCATTGAACAGTTAGTAAATATAGTTAAAGTTCAATTGGTTGAAAGCAAAACAAAACCCCATTGTAGGACTAGCTGGGATTCCGAAGCAAAATGACTATGTAAAATGCCTTTTGATTCAAGAGCAAATGAACTGTCCTTAAATGCATGCAGGAATGTATTTATGTGACATTAAAAGGAACCCCGAACAGAGAATACTTTGACAACTATAGTCCTTTACATTGTTTCCACATGCCTTGAAAAAGTATCATTTCTAGCAAAAGAATTGATCTGAAAAATTTATTGGTTTGCTTTATTTGAATAGCTCTGACAATCGTTTGCTAATATGGAGACACTATTTTTCCTTTCCGTAATCCCATGCTGCATACCACCCAGAGACACAAGCAGCTATTTTACAAATCATTCAGGTTTCCATGCAAAATCTAGTAAATCCATGCTATATGAAACAGCAGCCAGAAAACATCAAGGCCCTTGTGTAACATCAGCCTGTCCTCCATTCTAATTCTGCTCATGGCTAAATGTTATTGTGCCTTTGAGTATATTGCTGCTGGCCACCCCAATCTCTGCCAAGAGATGTCCGAAATTCCAGGAGTCTTGGCACTTAACCAGGATTTGTATTCCTTTGGAACAGAATAGCTATATATAATGCAATGGATTAAGTCATAGCTGATATCTCTGTCTTGAAATGCTACTGCAAGAAGTGAAGCTACAGAGAACCAGGCAGAGGGCCTTCTCAATAGTGGCACCCACCCTATGGAATGCCCTTCCCTTCAGATGTCAAGGAAATAAACAACTGTCAGACTTCTAGAAGCCATCTGAAAACAACACTGTTTAGGGAAGTTTTTAATGTTTGATGTTGTTGCTTTTTTATTATTGTTATTGGTGTTCTGTTGG